GGAAACCAAAGCGAAACAAAGCGTCCTAAGAGGGGCCAAGGGCACAGGCAGACTGATCAATTCTTGACTCAACCGGAGAGGAGATTGGCGCAATTTCATGAGTATCAATGGGGTTGAGTCAAAGAATTGATCAAACTGCCAAATGTGAGGTCTGTGTATTGCATGGGTGTATATACATAATTTCCAAGGGTGAGGTGAGGTGTGTATCCATGTGAACCCTTGACAGGGCGAATGTCCGAGCTCTGTGATGGCCAGATTGCCAAATGATTTATGGGGTGTCCCATGTTGACCCTTGATTTGGCAAAGGATCTAAGACACCGTAAATTCATCAGCCACCTTGATCAATATTTTGTTCAACAAAATAAATACATTCAACGTATGACCGGTCAAGCAGCGAGACAGCCAGGAGACAAGAGCAGGAGGTGATGCTAGAAGCACCACAGGCCGGCCCAGTCGCTTGTCGGTGAATGGAGATAAAACCCTTTTATTATTTTCTTTTCTGCCGCGTCAGAGAGGGGTTTTACCAACATGGACATGAACATGGCGGACTGGAATGTACCTTGATTCAAACTTGCTTAAATTGCCTATTTGGTAGAATACCTCCCGCACACGTTCGGGTAGTGAGGAGGCCTGTGCCACGGATGTCGCATTTGCAAAAAGCATCCTTCTTGTAGAGGTGATACAACATATCAAAGTGAAACCATGGGTGGTCGCATCATGTGTGTCTGTTTTGATGGAACACAAGTAATCCTTTTCTGAGGGCTGGGCCTTTCAATTTGGGACTCAATGCCACCAGCGACCGGGACATCGATCTAAGCGCCCGGGGCCGTGTGAGACCATTTCTGGACCACTGGGCTCCTTTGCGACAAACGTTGCAGACTTACCCTCCCACGAGCTGTCACGAGGAAGTGCACAGACCCCAGAAAGACTACTTTCCTCTTGGTTAGTTGGCCTTTTTGCACAAACCCATGTTAGTTGGGAGGGTACCCAGCTTGGCAAGAGTTGGCAACGTCTTTCTCAGCAGCACCGCCTCGGCCAAAAACCGAGCGACTTCGCCGGAAAGCCGCAGGAAGATGTGGTGCCCGAGCCGCCGCGGCCGAGGCCATGAGTGACCCCCCAAAACGGCGCGGCGTGTTTTTTGTTTGTTTGTTTGTTTTGTTTTTTCCTTCTGGTGGGTTTCCCTAAAAGAGCCACGAAAAAAGGGGGAACCCGCAAAAAAAGGCACATTCGCAGTTGGAGCTTTAGAATGCCCTTCAAGTTGCTGGTGTCGATTTTCGAGAAAGTCTGCGTTCCTTTGGCTTGGCTCAGGCGGAGACCCATCTTCCCGGGTGTGGCAGTTGATCCTGCCTCTGCCGGACCGCCAGCGGGCCAGCGGGTTAAGGAGCGCATGTAGGAGTCCAAGCCGGCCCCCTTTTTGCTGAACGGGATCGACACGTTCCATGTGAACTCTCAGGATCCGGACGGCAGCCTAGTTGCGAGGGCGCAATCCACCCGAAAGCCCCACGATCAAAAGCCCACCCAACCCGCTGAAATCCGCGCAACAGGCACAATCCAACCCGAAACCACCCTGAATTTGCTGAAATGAAATCGATTTGAACTGGCTCACGCAGGCATTGGGCTCCGCATACGACACGAGCGCGCAAGTTCAAACACTTAAAACCAGCTTCCAAGCTCACTTTGCCTTTTCGGCCAACATCAGCTTCCCAACTCAACTAGCTTTCTGTCGGACATGAACCTCCGGTAGAGTAAGAGCTTTTCACAAAGTAAAGCCTCCCATTTGATATCCATTTTGCTGCCAGCAACCTGCCGAATCTGGGAAAAGAAGCAGTTGCGTCCGCATCGGGCATCGAGCTGCTGTCTTGGCTCATGCTGAGCATTCCTTCAACTCACATTCCTTCTCATGCCGAAAGCCATGCCGCGCTTTTCATGACGTACCAACAATCTGGCTCAGGCGAAAAACGGACTCACTGGTCCAAAGCCGACTTTTTGACCCTTTGGTCCTTTTCCAAGGTCCTTGGGGCCCCCCGTGAGATCTGGTTTGCTTGGAAGAGCAAACCAAAACCCATCTCTGAGCACGCACACGCTACTCTTGGGCGACTGGGTACAGAAGATGCATGCTTCTGGCGAGCGGGCATTTAGTTGTTTTCCCAGGTTGGAAGTTGCAGGTCCTTTTGGCCACAATACATATCTCATTAACATATATATATATATATATACATACATGTTATGCCATATTTATTCGTGCACCATCTACATATGCATGTCTGTATACACAATATATATTATATATTACATATATATATATATGCCAAAGCGAGGGGTCCCGTTGCAGTGGCAGGGTTCTTTTTGCGTGAGGTTGGCCTGGAGCTGCTGCCAGGGCCACGGATCCATGGGCTTCCGGGTCCTCCGGAAGGTAAGGTTCCGTGTGTTGATTGGTGGGAGGGTAAATAAATAGATATATATATATATATATACATGTATATGGTACCCCCTCCCAAAAATAACCCAGGCATATATATCTCTATATATATACATAAATGTATTTGGAGTTTAACAAAGACACATTGGGCTGTAATTGTCAATACCGTTTTGGGATCCCATTTTGGGGTATGTACACCACCATTCTAGAACTTGGATTGGGTCCCGTTCACTGGGGGTACAATTTGGATTTTGAGCGTGCTCAAAAAAAGGCCGGTGCGTGCCGAAACACCCGAATTCCCACAGACCAAAAGGGCTGCCCAATCTTTTACATCCGCGAACAAAACAACGATATCAGCCTGTCCACCTTGGATCAACATGGAGGACACACCAATGAGAAGAGTCCCTGCAAGCACATGGTTCCTGAAACGGGAACTGTCTGGGAGAAGTGCGGTTCCCCGGATTCATTCAAAGTTGACAGCATCTCTGCGCTCGGTTGGTTGGATGTCGGCAATGTCCGCATGAGCTTGTACCTATGTAAAGAACTACAGTATGTGGAGCTAGCAATCGGTGCCAAGCTGGTATGGTAGTTCAGAATGCCTAGTTGGTGGTTTGGATTGGTGTTTTGGGCATTTGAACCCTGGATTTTGTAGAAGGTAAAGGGGAAGCCACCCCTGAACCAAACCCAATCTAAACCAACTCGAGGGAAGCTGACTTGGTGCAATGTCTGGCCCACGTTTCGGACGTGAGGGCTCCATTTTCGCGAGTTGAGGCCAGTTCTCAACGAGAGTCAGATGCAGCACGTCATTGCCGCGCCCACAGCGCGCAAGTCATCGTTCCTCGCCTCCAAGAGGGAGCAATAGGTTAGAGATGTTTACAACCTTGGAGGGCGCTTTCTTTTCGGTCGGGTGATGTTTGGGGACACCAAAAGTTGGGCTCGTGCTGAAGTTACACCATCGACATAAGAACGACACCGAGGGTCGGGTCCCAAAACGAGGACTTCATGCATTCCTTTTACGAGGCAAGGCTTCAATGGTCAGTCGGACGGTTCGGGTTTCAGATATTGAGAACTGCAACTTGCTTGGGCAGATTGTGCGGAACTAAGGACAATCGCATGCGTGCTCGTGCTGATGCTGACAGATGAGTGCTGTGAAGCATCATAATTACAGGCAGTGCAGTGTTCAGGGCTTCACTGCTCCTTTCACCTCGTTTGAAGTTGCTTGCCTTCGCAGTTTTGCCCAGGAAAATCTTCCACGCCCGAAACTCGTCCAGAAAATGATGAACACTGTCTCCGCGGTACACGTGTCTCACCGTACAGCCAGCGGGCGTCCTGTCGGCCAAAATGTTCCCACAGGAACCGCAGTTCTAGGAGGAAGTTTAAAGAAAAGGAAAAAAAAAGGCTACCTCCAAGACAAGTTCAACGTAGGTTCTAAGGGCCTGTCTTGCGGGAAGGGGGTGTTCGGTCTCCTCCTGTGCCTTTGGGAACCCCTCAACAGGTTAGGTTGCTTGTTGTGTTCCCTTTTCAACACTGCCAAGTGGGTACCCTCACAAAGACGAAGTCCTTGGACAGGCGAGAAAGGTGATACTTTTCCCCAAATTTAAGAAGTCAAACAGTGTTTCGACTTTTTTCGACTTTTCGCACCGTGCGCTCCAAAGCCTGGGCAGCAGACCAAGAGGACCCCTCCAAAAAGTCGGGTCGCTGGCTGTCTGGGGTCTGGGGGGCCGGGCGATGGCCATGAGCTTGCCTCGCGACATGACAATGCCATGTTTCGCGGGGTTTCGCGGTGAGACCCGTGGGGCAAGGTCCTTGTTTTTGGGGGGAATTGTCACGAACACCAACAAAAAAAAACAATCCCATGTGCCTGAGACATCCTGCGCTGGTTTTGGACATTGATTTTCAAGGGTCCTTGCACCCTGAGTGAGCTGCAAAGTCAAAAGCACATGCGGACGGGTCACAGGACCTGAGCCTCAGGAGTGGCTCTGCACAAAAAAAGGCGGTGTCGACAGCTCAACTGAGCTGTCAAGGGTATTGATTGAATCATCTTCGGGCTGATGCTTGCATTGGGACATACAAGGAACCCTGGGTTTCTGAATGCATGGAGCTAGTTAGCATGATTCCCAAGAAGAACTCGCGTGACATGGTCTCAACTCGATGGCTTTTGATACCTTAGTTCAAGGTTTCATGAGCATTTTTGTGATGCATGGCTCTTGAAGCTGAGTGGTTTTCATTGTGTAGATCAATGCAAGGATGCACTCTGTCTGTAGTGCCTGGTTGGGGAAATCATTGCCAATGCGCTGCAATGGTGCGCCTAGGTGCTTCCCAAATATATACGCTAGACGCAGTCTCGCAGTTCAGTTCTTTTTAGGGACGCCTGCGAGCCTTTCCTTTGTTGGCATTGCGTACCTCGCTTTTGCGAGCCTTTGCTGTGGTTGACGACCCTGGAAATGATGGGGAGCACAGGTCCGCAAAGTTGGTGCACATTGACTGGAACTTCGCATCATGAGATGTTTGACAGGAAATGAAAGAAAGGAACCCAACGGTCATGGGCGTTATGATTGTTCTCCTTGCTGTGCATCGCTGCAGCTGTCAGCCGCAAACACAAGGGAGTTTTCACGCGCTGTCAACCCTCGTCGCCATGCCCACTTACAAGCTGACTTACTTTGACGCTTGGCAGTGGCGTTGCTTAAGACATCTGCTCAAGACACCAAACCCTGGTTTGTTTTTCGCGTCCAGCTCTGAGTCGTAAACCCTAGGCATGTCGAGGTGTCACTCGTGCCCTTAGCTGGTCTTGTGAACTCAGACCGCGACGAATGTGGCGTTCCAGTTGACAAACAACTCTGCAGTCGGCGGGGATCATCTCTTGGAACAGACATGTTCCCAGCGGCTGCACAGCGCTTGGCAGTTACCAAGTTGGCAACCGGATGTGCGGATCGGTGCCAATCTCGCATGCAATGACATTACTCCTGCCTGGAGACTGTTTTACTTTTTGGCTGAAGCCGTGATCGCTATGAGGTTGTCTCAAGGGGGGAGGGGGGGGACCGACACCCCCTCATAGGTGGTCTCAACAAACAAAAATCCAGCTGGGGCCCTTTGTTCAGGGGAACCCCGGCCCTGCCCATTTTTTTATGGGTTTCCTTGCATTTTCTCATAACCCCCGAGAAGGAAGCCCTCAAGAAAAGGCACCACACCCATCTGCCAGCTCAGCCTTTCGTGGATCACGAGGTCGCCTTCTCCCCCCCCCTTTTGGCAGTTTCCTAAATTTCCCTCACCTTTTAACATTGCCATTTCGAGAAGCGTCTGCTCTTGGCGATTCGATGTGGGGACATACATATATATATATATATATATATGAACTTCGGCCGCAACCGGTGTAATTGTAAGTGTGTGTTTCTGCCCCGCACCGGTGTATTTTCTGGCATCAGGACATCCGCGGCCTCGCGGAGAACACGCGGATCCTCTTCGCGCTGGGGCAGCAGTCCTTCGAGGACGTGCGGCTTTCCTTCTCCTTCGGTGTCCCTGGGGACTTCAGCACGATCCAGCGCCCCGAGTTCGACGCCATGAAGGCGGGGGAAAAGCAAAAAGCAAAAAGCCACGGCGAGGAACGCGTGAGAGACGGTGACCACCAGTCGGGGTCCATAGGTGTCCTTTTGGGTTGATTTGGTTGAAAATGGCATACCTGGTGGTTCAATCAACTACCAGGGCCATCTATTTTCCCAAAAAGGACACCTATGTGGGGGTCTTGGTCACGAAAGTTTCCCTGAGTCCAGAACACGAAAAAGCACCATCCCCATTTGTCCGATGCGATGCTACGATTATTTTGGTAGGGGAAGGCCTTCAAAAGTGGCGGGCGGACAGACACAACATGTCCATGTAAACAAGGCCCCACCAAAGCCTATACCAAAATATGATAACCTCCAAGAACAGTTCTTGCATTTCCAATTGCGTTCCCAATTCAGATTTACACGTGAGGGGCTCACGCTTGGCTATCAAAGGAACCCCCAGTTACATTTCACCCACATATCTTACCGTCTAAGAACAGATTCTTGCATTACCCATGCAGATGCGTTCCCATCTCTCCGATTTACACGTCAGGGGCTCACGCTTGGCTATCAAAGGCTCCCCAATTACGTTTCATACCCACATATGTTACTGTCCAAGACCAGATTCTTGCATTCCCAATTTAGATGCATTCCCAATTCAGATATGCCCACATCTTACCGTCTAAGACCAGATTCTTGCATTCAAATTTTATTTGCCTTCCGAATTCAGATTTGCACGTCAGCGGCTCATGCTTGGCTATCAAAGGCTCCCCAATCACAATTCATACCGACCTATCTTACTGTCTAAGACCAGATTCTTGCATTACCAATTCAGCTACGTTCCCAATTCAGATTTACACGTAAGGGGCTCACGCTCGGCTATCAAGGCTCCCCAATCAACATGTCATGCCCACATCTTACCGTCTAAGACCAGATTCTTGCATTACCAATTCAGATGGGTTCCCATCTCTCCGATGTACATGTACAAAAACACCACTTCTGTGATACAACAAACAGGGCCTCCCAAAGACTAAGTCCCCATATAAAGAGTGGGGAGAAACCCTTGTATCACTAACCTCCTACATAAGACTAACCTCCCAAGGATTCCCTTGGATCACAGTCGGGAGAAACCCCAGGTGATCTCACTGCGTTTCCTCGATCGGTCGGCCCGAGGCCGCGGGCGCGCTGGACAGCTCTCTGGGCAAAGTGCCGCTGCTTGAGGTGGATGGCGCCAAGATCGGCCAGTCCAAGGCGAGCCTTTGAGCGGAGCTCTCCTTCCGTGTTTGGGGCTGGGTTTTAGGCGGGAAACCAAAGCTTGGTGGCCCCCAGCCGTCCCCTTAGCCTTTTAGGCTTTTAGGTTTTTAGGGTTTAGTGGCAGTTTCCATTTAACCAAAAGTCAAACTTTTGGCAGGGGATCTGAGGGCAATCCAGAAAAGGAAAACCACCATTTTAAGTGGTTTCCCTACTTTTCCTCCATTTGCTGAAATGAAGCTAAATGTTGGTTTTAAAGGGCATCTACCGCTCTGGCAAACATGTTCTCACGTTTTGTGGGGGGCCGAAAAAGCGAAGAAGCGAATGGAAGCTTGGAGCCGATGGCTTAATCACCGGTTTTGGGGTTGGCTTGAGGCCAAGAGGAACGGGCTCCGCAATCAATATTTCGGGCTCCCTGACACATACCCATGTCAAAAGGGCCAAATTTGGATTTTGCGGTACTGGTGTTAAACGTCCCCGAGTGGCTGCACCATCTTATGGGAAGATTGAGAAGATGACAGATGAGGCAGAAGATAAAGTGTTCAACATGAGGGCAACTGGTGCTTTCCCAGGCTTCCAGATGTCGTTCTATTGAAGACAACGTTGCAGAATTGAATTTTGCTTTGAACACTCCAGGAAAGTCGCTTTGACCAACGACCTCTTCATCCTGTTACAATTGACATGTCAATGTTGCTTGCTCGAGTTGACCTGTTGCACCTGGCACCTCATATGATCATTTCCCCAGCAGCCGTACACGCAGCGGCCCTGCTAGAGCAATCGTGTGATGTGTCACCTTTCGGTTGCCTTGTCAGACTGTGTAACGGGATGTAAAGGGGGCATCTAGGCCTGTGCTTTTGGGGGCATCTAAGCCCGTTCCGAAGGCCTTGCGCGAACATTGTGATTTAAGCATATGTAACAAGTAGTATACAGGAAGTGTGTTTCCACAGCTTTTGTGCGTTTCTTGTGGTCTCGATGCTCCTGCGCGAAAGTCGTTTTTTAAAGTGCGGCGGTAGTGCACGAAGTACCTTTCCACAGCGCTTCGACCCGTCCCTGTTGCTTCGTGGCGCAAAGCGTCTTCACAGATAAAAGGGACATGATTGGGCTCTTTCTTTTTCGTAAACGGTGATAAAGGCTTTCAGGATACGGGGCCAAGCGTCCTTTTTTGTTTATTTTTATTTTTCCCGGGGGCCCGGGGGGGGGGGGGGGGGTTGGTTTGGACTCCGGTCCCCGAGAAAGGCATTTTTTTCCGGTTGCCTTTACATCGATTCATCTTGAGAAAGCCACATATGGGTCGGTCGATTTTTGTGCGGGCACCCCTTTTTTCAACGTTTTAAAGGGAATGGAGGGGTCCCCTAATGATTAATGAAAGGCACACCCATTTTGGTGGATCAATACTCCTGGCTCCGTGTGGTGAGACTTTCATCGTTTTTGGTGGCTTGCCTATGATCACACTTTTGGCGTGTGTCCGCTTGGTTTCCCATTCAACGAGGAACAGCACATATGGGCATGAATTTCGATTAGGGACCCTCTGGTGGACATCATTTAGGTGGGGTTTTATGTTCACCAACCACTTTCCAGAGGTTCCTTGTTTAAATTCATGGCCATATCACTGGTCAAAACCTTGCCCAAGGCCATCGAGCGCTTCGTGGCCTCCTCGCTGGGCCTCATGGGCAGCTCCCCCGTGGAGGCGGCCCAGATCGATCAGCTCGGGGAGACCGTGCGCGACATCAAGGCCTTGCGAGTCGGGTCGCCCCCGGGTTCGTTTTCTGGGCCCTATAAAGGAGACCTAGATAGACAAGTTGCTGTTTTTTTTTGCAGTCGCTGTTGCTGGTTTTTGGGGTAAAGTAGATGGAAAAAAGCGATTGCAACTGGCGATCCAGGGACCTCCTTTCTTCCAGTTTCGCTTTGTGGATATCCTCCAAGAGTGGCGATCGTTTCAATGGACACCGCCAGAGTAAATTGCAACTAGTGAAGGGGAACAAAACCAGTGACCCCAGCGCCTGGTTCATGAGCCCAAGGATTTGCATGGCTTGTTTCTGAAAGCAACAACGTCGCGAGGCTCTCAGTGGCCAGGCCTGGCCTTGTCACTGCCAACCATTGGGTTTTTCTATTCGTTCATGACAGGGCAAAGAAGAAATGGTCAGCCATCAACAGCATGCCAGGCAAGCATACAAGACATTCACGTGAGACGTAGCTCATCCTGTTCCCCGCCTCCGTACAAGAGCCGAGTTGCACTCCCTGCCTCCCCCGAAAACCACGACCAATGACAAGGAGGATCATGGGGTGGCACGAGGCTGATGCATAATCAAAGCAGCTGGAACACTGGAGAGCACATTACGCTGCATCCAACCGACAATCCGAAGTAGACACATGTAGTGTTTCATCCGCGGAGTCTATTCAAGGAACGCTTTCTAGATCTTTTCAGACTTTGAACACTGAGCGTGGTCTTTTGCAGACAGGGGCCAATGCCCATGATAGGTCTGCGCTGCCATGCTGCTCACGAAAGATGTGTGCAAAGTGTTCGAGCTCCCCTCACAAACGTAGTCATATTCACAGACCGCCGTTCAAACAATTGACCGTTTCCGCATTGCAAGAAGCCAAGCCAGGCCTTTTTCCTCCAGGGTCATCCCATTTTCCAAAGTGGCAGTGTGGAACTCAAAGAAAGCCAGGCCTTCAAGGATACCCTAAGAACCATTTGAGCTTTACGAGGCCCCGCAACAAAAATCAGCTGTCATAGGTGTCCTTTTTAGGGTGGTTTTGGTGGACAAAATAGATGGCGATTCCTGGTTTATCTGGTGGTTTCATCTACCAGGGCCATCTATTTCCTCCAAAAGGTCTCGAAGCGCCCAGGATGCTTATCAGAAGGTCAGGGCCATCCAGGGCGACGAGGAGAAGAAGAAGGCCGATCCGGCTGGGTTTGGCCGAAGGCAGACCACCCGAGTGGTCGAGAGGCTGGACATTCCCAAAGAAGCCATGTACAAACACATGTGCCTGTGCCTTCCAAAAGTCCACGTGGGTCAAATGTTGATGTATATTTCCTACATGGATTGTGTGGGATTTTGCAAGAGCCGAGGGATTGCAAATCCTGGGTGTGTTTTTTTAGATAGGGGGCCCTTTGTTTTGGATGGTTTTAGAAAGTAACCAAAAGGAAACTACCTTCTTGGATGGGTCTCTAATCTTGAGAAACACCCATATTGACAACGGAATCTGGGAGAGGCATGCATTAGTTTGAACCCCTGACTTTGTTTCGGATGCTCCGTCAGAGATCACCCTTAGCGCCATGGTCTCTTTGATGTTGACTACGAGTTGTTCTATTTGCAGTTGCAGTTGACTTGCCAAGGGTTTCGCAAGAAACATCTACAAGTTGCAAAGATGGTCTACAGATATGCAAGGCGATACTGTTGAGCGTTGGACTGACGCATTTTGGAGCATTCCAGCAAACGTGGCAAGAACATGCCTGTTACGCAAAAGCGGGAGGGTATGGCAGAACTCCAAAAGCGCTTTGTCAAGAGACCGGTTAAAGACGTGCATCTTTGTACTGTTAGAACGTTTGCACTTCAGTCCGACTTACACCCCAGGATCAGTGGTTGAGTACAATCCCTTTACGTATCGCACACACACACACACACCATCCTTTTGTTTTGTCTTAGAAGTGGGACCGCGGTGATGGGCGGGGGTGGTGGTTTTCAGATGATCCGATCGAATGACCAGCTGCAGGGCTTCTTCCGAGGCTTTGCGAGGGTATGCCTTCTCGTTCGATAGGTCATGGTATTAAATACACCGTTCGCACACATCACATTGAGTCGGCGATTCGGCTTGTTCTGGCCTAAAGCTTCGGCAAGTCCTGGTTCAAGCTTTATCTCGGACCATGCTTGGAGCTGGTTCGTGGCCGATTCGGGTCGGAATTTCTGGTCAGTGTTTCTGTGCGACCATTCGATTCTCGGCATGATATTCTGCATGCCACATAAATCAGTCTGTTTTTGAGGGTACCTTCTGTTTCCTGGTTTTTCCTCTTTTTTTTCAAAGGGAAACTAGAAGGACAAACTCACCCGTGGAGGGCATGGACAAGTGGTTCGCGGAAGACCTGCCCAACTGGTGCAAGCTCGCGGAGAAGTCGTTGCCGGCGAGCTCAGGCCCGTGCCTGGTGGGTGCCTTGGTTCGAGATATTTCGAACCCGAGAGGGTCCCTTTCCCTAAGGCTCCTGATTGTCTTGCCCTCAACATGGGCTGTTTTTGAGGCCCTTGAGGAATTGGTCTGGGTTCTTCATTCGAGGGCCCGAGCATTGTAGGGGCCATGAGCCTTAGGGCTGTTGGTGTTTGGTCGGAAGCCAGATGGAACTGGGGGTTCCGTTTGGTTTGAGAAAATCAGGTCGCAGATGCCCGGTCGATTTCCCAAAGGTTTAACGAATGGAGCCCTTTTCAAGGGACAAGGCAGAAATGGATGGCCTAGGTTGTTCTGTGAGGTTGCGCGGTTGGAAAAGTATCGCCTGGTACTAGTTGCCTGGTGAGTGGTTTGCTAATGGCTTGGACCTCAGCATGCAGGATCCATATTGCCGGTGTGAGACGGTGAGGCAAGACTTTGTTCTGCGAAGCTTGAAAGGAGCCATCAATTGACTGGGTGGGGAGACTGGGCCTCGGCCATCTTGCGGCTTGGACTCTGGCTTCCAGCACTGGTGATTGGGTTTCCCAAGCACTCGGCTTGTGTTCGATTCATAGCGCATGAGCCAACACCTCAAGGTAACGCATGAGTCAACACCGCCAGGACGCTTTAAAAATTGAATCCAACTTTTGAGCCGCGAGGTGCGAAGGCCTCTTTGGCCGACGTGCTCTTCTACACGCTGCTGCTGGCCCCGGGATGCTTCTTCGACAACACCGAGGGCGCCAAGGCCGCGTTCCAGGACGACTTGTTGCTGCAACGTTCCGTCCGCGGTGTGTGAAGGTCTCCAAGTGAAACGGATCCAAACGTGTCCTCTGGCCTTATCGACCTGAAGGAAGCTCAATGGCCTTGGTTTATCAACAGATTCAGGCAAAGGTCAAGGTATCACAGCTAGTACCTGGCACCAAGACTTGCAGCACTTGCTTGGCATGGGCCCTTTGAGTAGCTCAATCGCTCACAGAATTCAGGCTAGCACAAGTGATCTGTTCACGCGGCACTTTGGACGGGGGGGGTGCAGCGTCGTGCGCATGTTGCGTGTTGGCTGCCCGTTCAGCATTGCCGGTGTTTTGCTACTTTTCAAGCGAGCCTCTCTGCATCTATGCAGAGAAGTCGGTGCAATCTTGCGTTCAGGCTGGCATTCACCAGTTGTGTTTTGGCACCGGCTCACTTTCGCGCAGAAAAGTTGACTGCACGGCGTCTTCATGCCTGTCTCGTTGTGATTTTCTTCACCTTGCTTTTGACGAAATATCGCCCAGATATCTGAAAGGGGGCTCGGTCCTTGCAGAGGTTCTGTTTGGGGTGCAGGTGGTGGTGGGGGATGCTTGGGTGGCTGCGCTGGTGCCGGGTTTGGTTGGTGCGAGCTGCAGAGCACTGGCTCATCCCGCAGTACTGCACTGAGTTCGATGCCAAGGGCCAAGCAAAGTGGATCCTGGAGGCTGTTTGTAGTATTCATGGCAAGGTGCGCAGGGCTTCGGGCAAAGACAAGCTGACCTGGAATTGATCCTGGCTACTCCTACACGTGGAAGGGGGTACAGATTTCGTTTCCACTCGTTCCCATGGAGTTCCGGCCCTTGAAAAGAGTCAAGATACCTCAAGCTTTGACTTGATTTTGGATGACCTCGCGTCCGACGTGCGTCCGGATTTGCAGTTTCGCGTCAGCGCGCAACGTGGGAGCATGTTTGGCACTTGAAGTCCCGTTGGGGTTTGTCATGTTTGGCTTCACCTCTGCTTGCCATGTGCTGCCTGGGTTCTTACCTGAAGTGATTGCCCTGACTTCTTGTTCTTAGTGTAGCACCCACTTTCCCACACTGAAGCGAATATGTTTGAACTCGCAGCTCACATCAACTCAAGGGCAAGCAGCACAGAGGTGTTGAGCAAGCAAGTGCTTGTCGAAGCATTTGGATATGAACTCAGCTTGGGGACCTTTTGGACCTAGGCTTTTCCAACAAGCGAAGACATAGGAGTGTCTTTCTTGAGGGGACCCCCCCAATCTGGATCTTGTTTCCCTATACCAACCGCCAAAAAACGGGTACCAACTCAAAAAAAGACATGACCCCCCCCCACGTACACATCCCTTTGGTACATTTTGCTTGGATGTTAGGACTTTCACTTTTTGTCAACTAATGGGTTTTCCATTAAACCACTAAACGTTAAACTTCTAGCTCAAACTTGCGAGAACCGAAAGCCGCCGGAGGACTGCCCCAAGATGAAGGCCGCTCTGGAGGCCATGGACGCACTGCCCCAGCTGAAGGCAGGATCACTGCATGCTTCCGAAAGCTGGGGCCTGCTTTCCAACTGGGGGGGGAACCATAGCCTTCACTAGGTTCCCCAGTAGTGGCCTTTTAGCGTTTCTTTTTTGGGGGAGGGTTCCCCTAGTAAAATAGACTACAGAAAAAGGGTACCCTTATTCTAACCTCTCTACTGGAGGGCCTAGTTACACTAAACCTTAAACTCTGAGGTCGCCAGACCCTAAACCTTAAACCCTACGATCGCCAATCCCTACACCCAACATTGCTGGAGACTTTGGACTTTAGCGTGTAGAGTCGGACCTTCCATGGTTGGAGGGAGGGTACTGTAGAGTCCATGTTGCAGCCAAAGAACCAACTTTCCAAAAGAAAGGTTGCAAAACTGAGCCCAAGTATCTGCCACACCCCCAAAGAAGAACTGCATCATGTAGGTTTTCTCTTGCCAGGAGTACCTCGCCAAGCGCAAGGAGACGCCTTTCTAAGTGAAGTGACAGCCTGTTCCCAGGATCCGACTCGCGCCTGAGGGGTAAGCCAACGGACAGCAAGTCTTGCAACTTGCGATCGGTGCGATGGGTAGGGAATGAAAACGAGCCCGGGTGTTGGGAATGAACCGCTTCGGGGAATCGATTCCCGAAAAAAAGAGACGCCAGATCGGGGTCCCGGTTTCTCTGGCTGTCATTCCAATT